CCCTGCCCATGGCAGGGGGGTTGGAACTAGATGGTCTCTAAGGTCCCTTCCAACCCAAACCATTCTGTGATTCTATGATAATTGTTTATCAATACTTAGAGTGGATAAAAAATAACCTTAAATTGATTTGAAAAGGATAAATCCACAGGAAGTATGTGTGCATGCATACCTCTGACGAGTCTGTACCCTTTGTTTTGATGACTTCTGGTGATTTTTGTTGGAGTTTCAGCAGTTAAAACTCTTGGCTGTGTATGTCTCAAGGACATACCAGTTTTTGTCCTCAGCAAAAGGCTAATTTACAAAACTAAATAATATAGTTTTGAATGTAGTGTTGTGTGTGACAGCCTTCCCTGAGATGGCGTCAAAATTATTCCTATGCAATCTATTTTGAGTAGGTTTAGAGAAAGATGATACAGTCAATACTGTCAAAAGCAATTGATCTGCACATGTGTTAACTTGGGCCTGAAAATTATGCTTAAACCCACACACAGGTGTTTATAAATGGGACAGATGCATAAATGTGGCTCACATTTTTAAAATCCTTTACCGCTTAGTCTAGTGTTACCCAAATGATACCATAACTTCATTAATCAGTGGTGTCTGACAGTTCTTTCCTTCTACCCTGTCTGTTTCGTATTTGATGGTGTATTTGCATGGTTGTGTAAACATGTGTATGTAAACACGGTACCAAGAGAAAGTTTATAGGGGAGTGCAATCTTAAGCACTAAAGAAAGGTTCATGTGCCCATATACTCATCTGGTTTTTGCCTCTCTTCTTCAGTCTTCTTAAAAAACTGTGCAACTTACGCCTTATGAGCCCTGCTGGGCTTATATGCTGAAGCCTTCGCTACGACGACAACAGTGAAACCACTGTGTGTGTAGAGGGGTCTGTATGTAAAATTCTGAAATAATTTTTTAAGTGTGGAAAACAGTGTTAACAGTTCACAAAATGCTGAAATTGAGGGAGACAAGTTGTCAGATGGAATAAGCTAGGAAATTTCTGATGAACTTGGCCCCACGTTGCTACTACAGCATGACTTGGATATCAGAATGCTGCAGACCAGGTGCTGTGGGAGTAGATGAAGCTATGGAATAATGCATTAGATTTATTTTCTGCAGGCAGAATGAAAACAGTGGAATTTATGCACTGTGTTCTTGGACTTTCACTGCAGAGGTAAGTGTGCCCATGAGGGTGAATCGAGCCCTCTGTACCTGTCCTGTGGGTGAAATGTGTTAGAAGCGGTTACCTGAGAGATTTAGTAGCATTTAAATGTATGACTTCACTACCTTACCAAGTTAGTGGCTTACTTTTTCAGCTGATTTGCATGTTCTATATTTTTGGTAGTGACAGGACATTAATCAAAATAAATGAGGGGAACCATGTGGGAGATCCATTTTAACAACACTTTGTTTTATACGTGAGTGGCTATGGCTGCTAATCGTTTGCATATGCTGTATGCAGCACTCGTGAAACTCATGCCAGGGACTTCATGTAAAAACACTCTTACCCAATAACTTTAGGAAATAGGTAAGAGGATCTGACTATATTATTTAAGCCATCAATCTTTGAATTGAAATTTAGTGTGAGTCTTTGGCAATTACAACTGCTGAGTATGGCGTAAACACACTGGCACTATCTGAGCAGTATCTTTTAAGCAGAGCTACTGACAGATTTGTATGGAAAGACAACGTGTACAAATTTCAGAATGTGAAAAGCCAGATCCTCAAGCTTCACAGCTGAATGCATTTCCTTGATGTTATGTCAATACATGTAAGCTGATGATCACACCAATAGGCTGTGACAGCTGTATCAAAGCTTTACTAGCATCACTTTGACCAGTGAGTCCAAAGGGTCACTTGCTCATTTCAGCTTTATCTGTTTTTCATATGCTTTGTTGTAAGAATTGCTCATTAGAGCTTTAGCAGTACTACCATAATCCAGCAGCAATATCTTTAGTACCTTTAAGAACGATTCAATTAAATGATTTAATTTTTTTCCAAGTTTGATAGCATGGTCATTCCACATCTTTCTTGGTAAGTTTACTGGAGGCAAGAACTAGAATGGGCAGGCAAATAGCAGGCTGCTGACGTTACCCAAGAAGCAGGGTTAAAGCTGTATGACTAGTTAAAGATGTAAGACTAAGTAAAGCTGTAAGACAAGATAAGGCTTTGAAATTTTAATGCCTTGTTCCATCAACAAGGATACTCCAGTGAGCAGGCAGGAATAGGTCAGGGAATTGATCTGACTGTAAGAGGAATGAAGGATGGAGACTTAGGTCAGTATAATCTTCAGGGGTTTGTATGTTCATATCCATATGCATATCCATACAAACAAAAGCATGCTTTGCCATGGACCAGATCCTGGTCTCATTCACAATCATTATTCTGCACTTGGATGGTATTTAAACGTCTGCACAGACAATGTACGAGTGCAGTGTTGGCAGTGAAAGTTCAGGTGTCAGGTGTGGCAGCCCGTGGGACTTTCACACTGCAGTTAAGGGAGGTGAAGGTCTGTGCCACCGTGCCTTCTCCATCCCCACCTACGCAGCTCCGAGGCTACATGTCAAGACAGATGGGTTCATTCAGACAGAAAAATGCCCGCACTAGTAAACACTCAATTAAGCACCAGATGAAAATTTCATCTTTGGAAGCGTACCACTTGCCTAGAAGCACTCGTGCAACGGACCAGTCTGGCCACAGTTACGCCACTCACCGTTGCTTCACGCCTGGAAAATTACTGGTACCGCTCAGAGTTAATAGTAACACTGCTGACTCAAACACATCGGTGCTGGCCATCAGGTGCCTGTCTCATTTTGACACTATAAAAACAGCTGCAGCGATTCAGGACATGGGTTTATCTACCCTGTTATTTTGTCTTTAATAGGGTCCACATGCAGATGCCTAGGAAAAAAGAGGCTAAGAATATTATGCAGAAGTACTTTTAAGAGCTGTAATTTTGCTTGCTTTTTTCTTTGTCCCTTCCTTAGCACTCAATATGTCTGTTCATAACTACTGTCCTCAAATATTTGTTACTTTAAGAAGTCTCCTGCAGAGTTTCAATTTTCAGTGACCTAGGTATAATGTAGTTAAAATATACAGAATAATGAGACAAAATTAATATTACCAGATAGTGGGGGATGTTGCCAGCCAGTGCAGTATTCATTCCCAAGCCTTGTTTCACTCTTCGGAAACAGAATTTTTGATCCCTAAATTATATGCTAGTGCTAAGGAACAGTTAGTGTCTCAAGTGGTTGTGTTTTGAGCAGTGCTGTGACCACACTGTTGACACATCTGAAATATCATTTCAAAAAAGTTGCAGACATACAAAAAGCTTCAAGGACTTTCATCCGAATTCCATCCAACAAAATCTGTAGGCTGAAAAGCAAGTGTAAGGAAGGGAAAACATGCAACAGTCATTGGATGTAAACTAGCTTATCAATTCACATATGTAGCGACGACCCTTTTGTTTGTTTTCAAAAAGAACCATGCAACTTTTTTTTCTCATATGTTAAAATCCAGAGTGTTTCTAGACCTGAAGTCCCAAGAGGTTTTGGGAATAACTTCAGTGTAGTGACATGCAGTGGTCTACAGGAATAGTTTTAGCAGAAGCTTAACTCTATCCCAGCCAAAACCAGCACAAGCTGAAAGCGGAGCCTCACACACCAAGCAACAGAGAGAGCCCCTCCCAGTTTGTGTGCTCTCATCAGCAGCAGTGGCCTCTGGGGTGGTCAAGGTGCATTTTTTTGTTTCCATGGAAGCATCCTAGAAAAGGCTACACATCTGCTTTTTACTCTCTGCTTTGGTAGCACAAATACTGTCACTGTGTTTTGTATTCTCGTATTCTTGGTATTCAGGTATCTCAGAACCTCAGAGAATTTGACACTAGCCCTGACTTTTCCCTCTTACATGCGTAAACATAAATACAAGACACTTTCAGAGCGCAGTCTGTAACCCAGCCTGTGTTTACAATGTGATCTCTACTTCTGTGGAACACTGTCATCTTCTACAAATGGCTTAATGTCCCTGGGTAAGTTTAAGTTCATTATTTACTCAGGAGTAATGAAGCAGGAGGAAATACTGATACACATGTGTGTATCACAGAGAGTTAACAGCTGATAGCTAAGACACTGAGAATGGTGGGGAGGGGGACAAAATTATTTTTCTTGCTTACCACAAATATTAGCTACAGAAAAGAAGAAAAACTCACTTTGACAAATACTGCCCCGAAGTGATATTCCTTTCATCTGTGTCCATGCAGTTCATTGTACTTGGAATAAGAGCAAGTTCAGGTTGAATCATGGTGGCTGCTGCTACAGCTCTTGCTACCAGCTCCATTGCATCCTGTACGTAATGCTCAAAGACTGACTCTGTTGTCTTGCCGTGAGCGATGAGACCGAGCGGCAAACCTTCTGTCCTCAGTTCTTCCACGTTCTGTGAATCCCCAATAATCCAGTGAAGTTCTGGAGGCATCACACCAAACTTGGTGGTTATTTCAAAAATTCTCCGTGTTTTTTCCATGTCACATCCAAACATCACCATGGTGGACGTTGTGTCTTTGATGCTCTCCAGGTAAAACTGCAAGTAGTTCAGAAGGTCACTGGTTGAAGTGAGGTTTGCTGTGATGTTTATAATGGATCCCAGGTGGAACTTGGAGCTCTGCTGTGTGAGGAAGAGAAAATCTGTGATGTTCCACTCCTCCTGGCATAGCATCAGGCTGAAATTATACCAGTTGTTCATCGCAAGGATCGAGAAGGTGACGTCAGCGTCAGAACTCAGTGAGTTTTCTAAGCTCATCTGCAGGTGAAGGGGATTCTGTAGTTAAAAACATGAAAGACAGCTGATCAGAAATACGATGGACCCAAATTAATGAGTTTGCTTAATTTTTATTCACTCATTTAGTTCAAAGTAATCACCTGTCAACCAAGAGAACTGTGTGAGAAACGGAAACTTATACCCACCCGTCTTAAATGGACTGTGATTCATGGGCTTCCTTGGCTCAAGTCTGAGTCAACCTCAGTAGTCACTTAGCAGTCTAAGTATCTGTTTCTTTTAATCCATTTTTACTTTTGGATTTCTTGGCATTCTCACGCAAATATTTCCCTGCTCTCCTAGCTAACTGTTCAGGTTCAGCCCTGGTGTTAATGGTCAAATTTAGGGGATGCTGACAAGTTCTTTGGTAAACAGTAAGAAAAATAAAGAAGAGCCCCCAGTTCTTTTTCGTTATCTTTTTTTTTTTTGGTAGTTGGGGACTTTTTTTACACAGACACATGAGGAACCTAATTAAACATCACAGTCTACAGTCAATGCACATCATGTACTGCCAAAAAACATGAGAAGATTGATTCTTTGATAAGGACAATCTACTGAATGCACAAGAGGCTAAGATACGTAGACTGTGATTTCTGAGCTGGAAAATATTCAATAAATAAGCATGCCATACTCATTTTTTCCACATCATTGATGATCTAACAGAACTTAACCCTTTACACTTCCCAGCACCACTGCCCTTGGCTTTATCCTTTCCAGAAAAGAAGGAAGGCTGTGAGGCTAATTCTCTTAAAGTAAGTATTTCTTCCTTTCTTATCATTTCATCCACAGGCACTTCTCCTTTCCTGTTATTCATGCCCCTTCCCTCGTCCCCAGAAAAGTTAAATTTTATCTACAGATTTAGTAAGGAAGAAAAAAAATTAAAGAATCCAAGGAATTTCTGGCATTTTACTAGAAAATAATTCTCTGCTCTACCAAAATGTTTCTATCAGGCCTTCAGTGAGCACATTATATACTGTTCCAACTTTTGGTTTCATCTGGGAACTTAACAGTCTTCAGTGTAGCTTTGCTAAAAAAGTTATTTTACTTTACACTGGCGTTTGATTTCAGCCATGAGACTGTTCAAAAAATGCGATTTATGTTGCCTGTTTCAGTGCATCTTTTGATTTGTGAGACCTTCATTGTGACTTTATGTTCAGTTGCCTGTATTCATGCCCCCTCTAATTATATCTCAGCCTATACAGGTGCCTGAATTGTATCTTTTTGTTCATTAAGTTACTAAAAACGTAAGGTCTGTTCTTCATTCTCTTACATTTCGGCAGTTAACATGTATTATATATAAGAGGGATCAAACTTCTACCATGTTAAAAGTTGGTGTAAAATGCTGTCATTTTTATTTTAATTGTAATAGTATTTTACTGTTCATTATGGGCTCCATTTTTTATAGATCTTAGACATGTCATTCTGAATTTGGCATAATATGTTAATTGCTCAATTTGCACTAGTTTTACTAAAATAAAACCCTGGGGTCTCCAATACAGATGTAAGGGGTAGAATGAAGAAAAAAAAAAACAACGCTGAAGAGCTAAGCAGCAGAGTAAGATTTCATTGTGTTAATTTGCAGTTACATGAACCCACCATCTATTTTCCAGAGTAGATCATTTAAGTTCAGAGCTTGATAAAGAGAATACTGTAATTGAAAATGGTCTCAGCTCTTTTTGCTGCCTCTTGCTTTTGGTACCTGTAGCCTTTTTTTACACAGACACACAAATAAGCTAATTAAATAGATTACTGTCCACAATCAATGTACGTCATGTACTGCCAATAAGACATAAAAGGATTGATTCTTTCATAAAGGACAGGTTACTGAACACACGAGAAGCTAAGCTGTGCAGACTCTCTAAGTTCTATGATGGGAAACACTGCCTACTAATTAAAATACACAATTGGTTCAGGAAAAAAAAAAAATCATTGTGCATAATATCTGGGTTTGGGAAGCTGATTTGAATAAAGTAGCTCAGGAAAAAAAAAATCATTGTGCATAATATCTGGGTTTGGGAAGCTGATTTGAATAAATTAGCCTCTGCAAACTGAATCACAAGAAACATTTTTTCTGAGGTTATGAGCTGATCAGGTCAATTCACTCTAGTTTCTCTCTCACTCATATATCAAATAGAGAGTAGAAGGAATTTTCCTTATGTCCTCTCTGTCCAAGATCAAGTGAAAATACAAGCACTCTTTACATGATGATCTGCCTCCCATCAGCAAAACATTGCAAGCCTATTGGTTTAGTTAATTTGAGTGCTCGAGAAGAAATGAGTTGTTCAGTATACATAGAACATTTTGCTTATACAAATGATAGCACACCACCTGACCATACCTGTACGAGGAAGAGCAAATGTCTTCAGTATGTTCAGGAGCCTAACATCCCAAGCACAATACTATAGCTATTACGGTATATGCACAGCTATTAAAAAAACCAAATCTATCGGACGCAGAAAAACAACCATGTGCTGATGAGTGACAGAAGTCAGCAGTAACAGCTGTGTCCATACTGTCTAACAAAGCAGCCCCAGCAAACAAACTTGAGCATTCATACTACTTAGTTTGTCCCTGGTCGGGTTTTGGTGCTTGCCAGTTAGCTATCTCATACCACGCACTGGCCGTTGCGGTCCTAGCACACTGGATCACTCCCAGTGGGCAGTACGGATAAGACTGCACGAGAACTCTCTCTCCATCTTTCCCAGCAGGATTAGATGTTTGAAGAACTCTGTGTCCACATTTAAAACCCAGTGCATACGCAGGTTCATGTATGCAAGACTGCTTCTTCTTGTCTACAGCGCAGTTCTTCCGGTATTAAAACAATTTGACCTGATAAAGACATACAAAAGGTAAAATGACACCCTTAGGGCCACTGGGCATTACGCTGCGCCCAGAGCAAACAGCACCAAGCCGACTAGTCCAGAGGAAGGAAAACGCTACCTCAGGGCCAGAAAACTGGACATACTCGGCAGCGCAGGTGAAGGCAGTTTCCGTCTGACTTGGTGTTCTCGGGTCCAGGGCTGGGGTCTCCTGCACCAGTGCAGCTACAGGCTCCAGCAGAGCTCTGGTGTTGCTCCCCGTCTTACATGCAATATACTTGGATGTGTCACTGTGGTCCGACAGCCCGTTCTCGTACTGAGGCACAGCTTTTTCACCGAATGGAGATGGATTTGGGCTAACCTGGCTGAGACTGCCCCTGCGTTCAGGAGTGCTTCTTGGTGTGAAACCATCTGTGCCTCAGCTGTCACCTTCAAAAGCCCACAGGTGCATCTGCATGAGCACTTACCAGCACTGTGGTTTATTAGCTGCTAAATTCCCTGCTAATGTGCTTCAAAGGTAAACGTTCAGCCCTGAAAAAGTAGCAGTCTCTTTTCTTTATTAAGTGAATTGGCACTGAAAACCTGTCTTCAGAATTTTTCTGATACAACAATATACATGAAACTCAGTCACTAGGTCTTTGTCTTCTGCTTAACTTTCAGCTAATTATCAGCCCAGCCTGCGAACAGCCCTGTAGAGGTTGGGGAGGAACAGCAATTAATGTTTGCTTTGTGGTGGGACTCAGGGAAGGGCATACTTGATGAGCCACGATGTTTCACAGCTCAACCAAGAGCGCTCTCTGGCCTCACCTAGTGAGGGGTTAGTTGACTTCACCAGTTTTATATGCAAAAGAAGATCCTTTTAGGAAAGGATATTGTGATGTTTGGAGATCTTGGAATTAACGCCTTCTCAGTTTTATTTTGAAATATATTTTGAAATATAGAAAAAATTCTATATTTTTTTTTTTTTTTTGAAATATATTTTGAAATAAGCATATAGGTTCTGAAAAAAATTACACAGAGGTCACATCAGTAGACATCCTTTGATGTTGTAATGTTCTTAATGCTTTTACATATTTTTATTGATTTGCCTGTCTTTAAAATAAATAATTACTGCTTTTTGCTGAGGAACTTCGAAAAATTGTTTATTCATTCACTCAGTAGCAATCACCAAGACTGCTAATTTCATAGCAAAGGCTTTTGTCAATGTAAATTAGAGTTTAGATGTGTAGGACTTTATACTTGTCATGGAACAGAAATTTATGAGATAGTATCGGTGTATTGAACTGTGCCCATCCATCCTTATTGAAGTTCTTAGGCAAACTCCTTCATTACCTCACTTTGGAAATTGGTAAAGTTTGACTATTTCAGTTAAACTGTCAATTAAAGCTCATACTCAATTTCTTTGTTTAAATTTGTCTTTAAGCTGTCATTAAAGATGATAGGACTTGCCTCAGTTTTTCTCCAAATTACACAAACAGAGAATTAAACCTCATCTGAATAATGTTAATTGTAATCTATTTTTAATAAAGTGTTTGCATTTAGTGTCCTTAGCAAAAACATTTTCTGTGTCTATGAGAGCTTATTTTTTTATTGCATGTCATTAACTCCTCTTCTACAAACCAGCCATGATCAACTGACTTCAGTATTTACTGAGCGAAGAACAGACCTAGAATCTTAAATTTCTGACTAATTACCTTCAGTTCAGATACCAACAGTCTTTCCACTGACTTTCAGTGGGCTTTGGCCCAAGCCATTCATGGAATATTAAGCTTTACATGGTCTGATTTGTTTCACTCCTGTACGTTAGCAGAGACTGTAGCTACTTACTTGCTTTCTGTATCCCAGCCAGAGCAGTTTTACAGCTGCATTGCCTGAAACACCTGAGAGAGCGGTGCCTTTAAGTGAAGCATGATCTGCATTTCATTAATGCAGTATTTTTCAAACCTCCAGTTTCAGTAGTCTGCAGACCCATCTTTAGCCTTTGTAAATCTTGTGAGCATGAATGCCTGAAGCTGGACTGACTTACACCCTGAAGGATCTGGCCATTTATCTCTTCAACCAAATTTGGAATGCTAATTAGGCATGGTCACAGTGACATTTTATTTGACATTATGATAGCTTCATTAGCAGAGTTAAAAGCATGTATGCAAATGTTTTGGTAACCGTAAAAGTAAATAATACACAGAAAATATTATTCCCTCCTGACTCTCAGGGGCAAAGACAGTGCTCAAATATGAATTTATGATAACAAACACAAAAGAGAAAACAGGCTACAAAATTACATCAAGAAAGTTGTAATTTCTTGATTATTAACCCCCTGCCTTCTGGCTTACAGTGCAACTGTGGGGACTCCAGGCTTTACAGAGCTAAACGGCGGCTGCGAGTAAAGTGATGCCACAGCTTCAGGAACTGGGAAGTTCTTTCTTCCATGGTTGAAATTACAGAATTTAGGCTTAAAACTCAGTTCCCTGAAGGCCACTGGCCCACCTATTGAGTCTTCCTTCCGTGCCATGAAAAAAGATGCTACGAAATGTTATTGTATTTTTTTAATATCTGCCTTACTGCTGAAACTGCAGTGCTTCAAGGTGGATTTTGTCTGGCAGCCGACAGAGTGCGGGAAGGACAGCAGAGGGAGCGGCCCTACCACCCTGCCCCGCCAGATGCCGAGCTGACCACTGTCCCCCAACCCAGTCGTTGCGTGGTCCAGCGAGGGCTTCTAGGCCTTTAGCCCACAAACCACTTAAGCGTCTGTTTAAGCAGCAGCATGAGTAAGATTAAAAATACCAGTGGTACATTTCTTCTGCTATTTAGACTTCTGCTGCTCTGAGGAAAAAAATCTCAGACGTGATTTGGGCCAAAAAGAGGAGGATGACTTCATGAATTCCTCTTTTTCTAGTCTAGTCTTGTGCATCTGCCTCCATAAACACTCTTGTTTGACCACGACTGTAATGTGAAGCAGGGTAAGTCTCCACGCTAAAAGCTATTTTTGCAGATGGTTTAAAAGCTTCTGAGAGAGAAAAGCTAGCTTAGACTAGCCAGCGCTGTTCTGATTCCTGCAGCAAAAGAAGCCTGGCATCTGTCCAGGCAACGCTTATAAGCAGATCCTAAAAAGGCACTGACTGTTGACTTAAAAAACCACAAAACCACAAGAGTTAGATTAATTTAAGTCTTGACTTAGTTCGTCCTGAAAATTATTTCTGTCATTAGACCAGACAGCCATGACTTGAGCTTGCTTAGCATCTCTAATGCCTACATACAAATACTCCAAACTAATCTGAATATGTACAGCTCTCTACAAGGTGAAAGAGGCAACATAAAACACAAACTTTCAGCTGCTCCTGGAAAATAAGACCCATTATTTATCTTCATAGCAACTTATAAATTATTGTAAGTAATATTACTACAAAACCTTCAAGGTGTTCTTTGCTCCAGGAGGGAAAAAATTTAAAAATCCAACATGTAAAGTTTGACAAAGAATATTTCATACAGATACCAAGAGCCAAAACAGTTTTTCCTTCCCTAAAATGTGTCATTATGGTTAAAAATGGACAGATTGCCAGTACAAATAGATTGAGGAAGCTGTGTTAGCTCTCCATGATAGGCTTTCCTCCACCATTAAAATGGGGAGGCAAAACTCCCAAGAGTTCTACTCCTCTTCTCTGCCGCACACTTCGAACGGGAGAAAGAGGTGGGAGGGTCCATGTCTGTGACTCTTGCTCCCAAGTACTGCAGTACTGTAATCAATGTCTGCAAAGCCCTTGCCAATGTTTGGGTAAAAGATGCCAGGAGATACTGAGTGTGAATATTAGCCACAATGGACAATTTGTTACTGCGTGGTATTATTTTCCAGAAGTTCAACACTGTTACAAAATCAGGTTGTCCCGAGTGAGCAGTTGCCAGCACGAGTAAGGAGGTCACGGCTAGCCCTTGCACCAGGCTTTCTATCTAATGCCATTTCCCAGGAACACATTCCCTTTCAGCTGGCTTCATCTAGACTGTCATGTTTGCGAGCAGGACTTCTCATTTGAGGTTCGTGCTGTAGCTGTGCCATTACAGGTAAAGGATGCAGCACACAGTGGCTGTTCCACAGAAGCAAATCTTTTCAGGGTTCATGTGCGTGCTACTATAAGCCCGAATGTTTGGAAAATAGCATTTAGCAGAATTTAATTTTTTCCTTAAGAAGACGTGGCAAGAAGAGGGAAGCACCTCCGAGATGTGGATGCTTTTCACATCCTGGCTATCAGTCAGGAGGGCTCTGTTTCAAAGCAACTGCAAAGCAAGCAGTCTCGATTTCCCATGCATGTTATTCAGGAGATGCACAGTGGAAGGGCTTTCCCCCTCCCCAGTTTCTGGTTCATGAGGGCAGGTAGCAATTCAACTTTAGATAGCAGTGGAGGCAAAAAAGTGGTAGCACCTGGGAGCAGACAGTGCATGTCCCTTGGGCTCGCTGAGATCTGCCTCCTTGGTCCTGGCACTCCTAATGTCTGTGGTATGACTCAGGAAAACCCTGTGGGTGTAAAGAAATTCTGATAACACACTGGTGGCCTTGTTTTAACTTGAAAAAAAATATTTAAGTAGCTACCAGAGCACTCTGTGTTTGTCTCCTAATAGAACAGATCTCCGTAGTCTTTCAGTGTGATTACTAATGACTCTACATCAAGGATATAGGTGTGATCAGGCTGCAGTGATGTTACGTGGATTATCAACAAATCACGTTCAAAAGCTGATGAAAAAAACAGCGTTGCATCAAGGATCCTCAGAAGCACTGTCACAGCAGAAGGCTTGACAGTGCAAGCACAGGATGGCACCAGGGCTGCCTGGGCTAAAAATCACAGCTCACCAGTGGGCAGTTACTGGTCACTAGAATGTTGCAAGCTTAGAAGCAGAGTAAAACGGGCTTTAGGAGATCAAAGAACAAGTATCCAACATGTAATTTGTACCAGATACTGGGAATGTGGATATAAGGTGGAACTGCAAATGAGTGAGGAATGAGCAAGTGAGTACAGCAGAGATGCACCCAGCATTAACAAACATATACACATGACCAAAAGCAAACCCAGAAGAGGAAGTAACTCCTGACATCAATGTAATAATCCTCTCTGGAGAGATCTCGAGACACAGACGACTTGCCACACACAACCCTCATCACCTGCGAACACACACACACTTGCTCTGTCTCCCTGGATTTGTGATGCTGACCTTGGGACCCAGAGGTGCCGGTAAGGGTGAGCCCAATACCTGAGCAAAGAGATACGGTAAATACATGTATGACAATTTAAGCAGTATCATTACTGAGAATGAGCTGTAGGACTTGGATAATTTGCCTG